ACTCAAAAGATTCACTCAAAAGAATTTGACACTAAGACCAAAACCTACAACCAATCAAACCAAAAACCCATCCAAAATACACCTTAGCCAATAAAATTTTATGTAGCTAGCTGATTTTTGCAAGATTAATGACTGAGCACCATCTAAAGATGATGAATATGTGACTAAGATTAGGGACCAAACGAAACATACTGTAGAAGGTGACCAAGAGACTATACATATATGCAAAACATTAGAAATTAGCATTTAGAAGGGATTGTTCTTATTAGTTATCTATCTATGATGGCAGTTACAGTGATTTTGATGGTGGTAGAGTATTCTTGTAACCCAATCAAGAGAATGAAATTACATAGGAAATCAATGCAAAAGTAGGTGTTATTGACATAAATTCTAACCCAAACAATGAATACAAACACTACCAATGGTGTGTATATATGTTATACATACCTGTGATTTAGGGGAAGAATGATCTTTATTTTTGTTGATGGACAAATTAAAATAGACGGCCTAATGGATAGAAGAAGATAACGACGAGAGAAAGTGAAGAATATCATACTAGGGCTTCAAATTATATGAGATTTTTTTTCCACATTTTGAATGTTTAGATTTTGGAAGTTAATTATAATTAATAGATTAAATTAATATATAACTAACTAGATTATATGTTAACTTATTATTAAGCCCTTATATTGATTTTTAAAATGGTTGGCTCACATTGTGTTACACATACACACAATATCTATCTAATTACAAACGATCCTATCTTGACGGGAATAAACCACTAATGATTTTATTGAGTTACGTGCATCAGACTATCCATTAGCCATCATGCTCAGCAAAATGGTATTTTATAAAGAAAACACTATTCCCTTGTTGAAAGTACATGGTCCTAACTTCTGTCTCTTAGGTCCCTAGTATTTTATGGGGAGGGGGGGAGTTGTTCTTACCGCTTCCCATGTTAATCAATTTCCACTACACATAATTCTAATATGTTTCCTTTCTAAAAACTATACATAAAACTTCTTAATTATTCTTTATTATGAGATTTTGGTGTACTGCTTTGTTTTACGACTTCACGCAGAGCAGAATAAATTATCTCCAAAATAAGCTCAATGTGTATTATTGGACTACGATATTGTGTGTACTACTTTGTTACAACCCGACAAGTCAAAAGTGGTATGTTTCTCGACATGTCACCTTTTTGGAGCACATCCCATTCTATATCATGCATGATTGTTCACACGACGTGACATAATCGAAACTTCAAACTATTGATCCATTTAGCATTAACAATGATAATGTTTCTTCTAAAGCTTTCAAATAGCTCTCAAACGCCTGATCCCACACCCGTTTCCACTTAGGACCACTCAAGTACTACTATTTAGGATCCCCAGTCATTAAGGCCTACTTATAATCGGAAGTCCACCAAGCTTCCAAAATTTGCTTATTTCTCTTACTAACAACATTTCCCTCCTTTATTGTAAATGTACATCATCTCTCTAAACCATCGTCCTACAAGGAGGCCGTCATGATTCTTTTTATCAAAAAGCTATGATTGAAGAAGTTACAACTGTTTAGCACACTCACACATGGGATTTCGTTCCACACCCTCTTAGACAGAACACGATTGATTATATTTAGGTATACAAGCTCAAAACTAAGTTTGATGGGTTTGTTAAATGTTATAAATCCAAACTTGTTGCAAAAATATATTAGCAAAAGTATGGTATGGATTATGAGGATACTTTTGCTCTGGTTGCAAAAATGATGTATGTTGTTACACTGATTGTTGCTTCTTCTATTGAGCAATGGAAGATTCATCATATGGATGTCAATACTATTTCTTAAATAGCGATCTTCATGAGGTAGTATACGTGTCTCATCCCCGTGTATTTCTCACCAACTAGGTGAAGTTTGTTGGCTTCAGAAATCATTGTATGGTCTCAGGCCCTCGTTCTTTGTTTAAGAAAATTTCTATTGTAATTACTTCGCTTGGTTTTCATCCTAGTAATCATGAATCCACTTTATTTGTTAGATGTACGATTACATGTCAGATGTTTCTTTCTTTATGCGCTAATGGCATGATTATTAATGATGATGATCATGATGGTATAGAGCCTTTGAAGCGTGATTTGCCTTACCGATTTGCTATGAAAGACTTGGGATTACTGCGGTATTTCTTGGGGATTGAAGTTGTTAAACCTCCAAGTGTTCTGTAACTCACAACGTTCCTTTATCAAATACGAGCATTTATCGTACCATTATAGGAAGTTTGGTTTACCTTAATATCATTAGGTCAGATAATTGATCATGCAATTCATGTGGTTAACCAATTTGTCACTGATCCTTCTATTGTTCATCCTTCTATTGTTCACCGGGGAGTTGTTCTTTGTTTGAGATATCTTCGTGATATTAAGCTAACAAGTCTATTGGACCTTTTCGGTTTGGGCCCTATGTTTAGCCCTTTATTCACGTTTAACCTAATTAGTTTTCCTATTTATTTAGGCTTTCTATTTCTTTGTAATTGTGCTTTTCTTTCATAATAATAAAACCCTAGCCGGACTTTGTCTCCATTATTGAGTAGATTACATGTAACTCATTAAATATGAAACCAAAACCGATGAAATTAGAGCTTAAACTCTAGTACAAGCTCTAAACTACATCCTAAAAAAAAGATTTCATGTGAATCCAACTTTAAACAAACGATATATTCATCTTTTAGAAATTTCACATATTACATTGTATTGAGGCTTTTAAATTTTCCGTCAAAATTGGTCCAATACCCCGGAACTGAAAAGGTAAAAAAAACGGAACGAATTTACACTGTCAAAGGAACCGATAACAAACCGGTCCAGGTACGGCTCGCGGTCCGGTACCGTTCCACGTCGTCGTCATTGTCTTCACGGTGGCCACCCCACCCTTCCAAATAGTCTCCATCAGGTAAGTTCTCCGACCATCTCATGTACTCATCGCATCCGTTCTCTGTTCTCTATTATGTCAATCTTGATCTCTGTTTTTTTTCTTTGTTTGGTTTCGATTTTTGATGTTAAATAGTGGGTTTCGGTTTCTGTTCTGCTTAAAAATTCTAATTGACATCATAATATGTTTCTGTAACTATTCTAATAAATATCAAAACGGTCGGAGAATATGAAATGCCTAATTTGCTGTTAAATTGGGGTTAATTTAATGCTTGCAAATGTTGCAACTCATTAACATTCTGATTTTGTTATGTCGAGCCGAGTGAATTTATGGAAGATGACACAAATAAGCTAAAACACCTATAAGAAAGGTCTTATTCAAGTTGCATAATAGTGATTTGTAATTTCAGTTTATAACAGTTCTCAGATGGAGTCTGATTTTTATTCCGCATCACTTTTATATATAACGGTAAATAGTCATTACTCTCATTCATACTGTTTATTTTCAAAAGAAACATACTTTTTTCATTTACCACTTTTTGGATATTGGCATCACTTATCCATACAACAATTTTTTATTCAATACTTACTGAAAAAAAAAAGTATAGATCATAAACTAACAGAATTCCAGCCTTTCAAAAAACTATTATATATACGTTTGTAAGGTTGTTATCCTATTTGTAATATTTTAGACTCGTTACTAGTGTAGCACTGTAAATAAAAATATTTACTCTTAACAACAATGTAAATGACCATGGACTAAATTTTAATGTACCAACTTGGATTCTTCAAACAAGTCACAATATTCTAATTAATAGAAAAGTTCATTTTTTAGTCATCACAATCCTAGAACCAAATAATACCATATCCATTTTCATGGATGGTTGGTGTATTTGAGTCCAGTTTATTATTTGGAATTATATCACATAATTTTGAGGACAAATGAATATCAAAAGATATGTATGACAAATACAAATTCCTAAGACTTGCAAGCCTTTGAAGGTCTAATTTGGGGCATTCTATTTTGATCCATAATCTTTAATTTGTCTAAGTGTTTGGTTCAAATTTCATAGAAATTAAGTATTGTATTCCCCCAACAAATAGACCAAAATTTCAGGTAATTAGTTTGTTTTTTTAGGTGGTTCATATCACATGACTTGAGGACCAAATGATATCACAAGATAGGAAAAAATATATAATAAATACAAATAGCCAAGACTTGTAAGTGTTTGAATGTGTAATTTGTGGCAATTTATTCCAATTCTTCATCTTTGATTTGTCTTATACAAATTGTCAAGACATTTAAGTCTTTGAGGTCTAATTCTCAGAAATTTATTCCAATTTTTCAACTTTAATTTGTCATATACAAATTGTCAAGACTTGTAATAAGTCTTTGAACGTCTAATATGGGGTAGTTTATTCAAATTATTTATCTTTGATTTGTCTTATACAAATTGTCAAGACTTTTAAGTCTTTGTAATCTAACTTTTGGGAACTTTATTCTAATTTTTTATCTTTCATTTGTCTTGTACAAATTGTCAAGACTTGTAAGTCTTTGAATAGTGTAATTTGGGGCAATTTATTCCAATTCTTCAACTTTAATTTGTCTTATACAAATTGACAAATTGTCAAGACTTGTAAGTCTTTAACGTCTAATATGGGGTAATGTATTCTAATTCATCATCTTTAATTTGTCTTATAAAAATTGTCAACACTTGTAAGTCTTTGAACGTCTAATTTGGTTCAGGTTCACTGAAATGAAATATTGTATGCCCCACACAAATAGTATAACACCAATTTGACGCCATCCACTAGAATCCTTGATCTTCACAGTCAAGAGTAGAGACTATATAAGCCATCACAGGCGCAGTTCATATATGCATCAATACAAATAACAAAATTTCAGTATTTGCATCTACATCATGTATCCTTGTTATTTCTTGAGACAACTGCCAACCAGTTTGTAGCAGTGGGAGGAGTAGGAGATGATAATACAATGGTGTTGTGAACAAGTGTTTGGATCAGGAGAGACATGCTCTCCTTTATTTCAAATCTCTCCTTCAAGAACCTGATGGTCGTCTCATGACATGGACAGCTGAAGAAGAAGACTGTTGTAGATGGTTTGGAGTCACATGCAACAACCAAACAGGTCATGTTGCAGAGCTTTATATCAGCCACTGTAATCTTGGAGGTGAGATTAGTCATGCGTTGCTTAATTTAAGCAACTTGATTATTCTTGATCTTTCCTATAATTCTTTTCATGGAACTATTCCCACCTTTATTGGTTTAATGACTCGATTAAGGTACCTCACACTCCATTACAATAATCTTAATGGAATCATCCCCAGGTCCTTTGGTTCCTTGACCAATTTGATGTACCTTGATCTTTCCTATAACTCTCTTTATGGATTCATTCCTCCAGAGTTTGGAAATCTCACCTACCTGCAAGAGCTTGTTCTTGAATCTATTGGAAGATGTGAAGTTGAAAACCTAAATTGGTTGTCTCATCTTTCTCACTTGGAGGAGCTTAGAATGGATGGGATTTCCCTAGCCAAACAAAATCATTGGGTAGATGTAATGTTGAGTCTGCGAAAACTATCATATTTAAGTTTAGATGGATGTGAGCTGTCACAGGTAGTGTATCCATATTCTTCTTCATTTCTCAACTCTTCTTCTTCATCTATTCATACCCTTTCTCTTCCAAACAACAATCTCACCTCAACCATGTATAGTTGGTTGTTCCCACTAACCAGCAATAAGCTTCGTGTTCTTTATCTCTCTTATAACATGTTAGATGGGATACCCGAATACTTTTCTAACCTATGTAGTTTGGAATGGTTAGACTTTGTCAACAACTCTGTTGTTGTAAAATTTCCTGATTTTCTTAACAACTTGTCTGGATGCACATCCCTCACATTGCAATGGTTGGGTGCATCTTATAACCAGTTTACAGGGTCATTGGTCTGATGACATCGAAAAGTTTTCATCACTAAAATATTTGTGCATATCGAATAATCAACTAAATGGCACCATAAGTGAGAAATTGTGGGAACTACCTAGGATTAAAGTTATTGACGTTTCTTCAAATTTTCTTAGAGGTTCCATCTCTGAAAATATTGGAAAGTCAAAGGCTTTTACTATATTTCTTTCAGAAAACCCACTCCAAGGAGTTCCTTCCACAAATCACTTGTCAAACCTTTCTTATGTAGAGTTTATAGATATGAGCTCTTGCGATCTAGGGCCTCGTTTCCCCAAATGGATTCAAACACTGATAAATCTTACCTGCCTTCATATTTCCAATGCTAGCATTTCAGACACAATTCCTCTGGAGTTTTGGGATTCATGGCCTTCTAAATTAAGATATTTGAATCTCTCTTCCAACAACATCAAAGGGGAAGCAGCCGATTTATTATCAAATTTTGACAACAACTCAGTGATAGATTTGAGTTCCAACAGATTTTATGGTACGATACAGAATGTCTCCTCTGCTGTGGCATTGTTAAACCTTTCCAAAAACAAATTCAGTGGAGGAATATCTTTTTTATGCCAAATGGTTGATGGATTTTTAGAATTTCTTGACCTCTCCCACAACTTTCTAATTGGGCAACTTCCAGACTGTTTATGGCATTTCAAAAATCTAAAAGTTCTTAATTTAGGACACAACAATCTATCTGGAAGGCTTCCTTCCTCTATTGGATCTTTGATGGAACTTGAGGCGTTGTATTTGTACATGAACAACTTCTCTGGAGAGTTGCCTTTGTCCTTGAAGAATTGTACAAGTTTAAACTCATTGAATTTGGGGGCCAACAAGTTTTCTGGTAATGTGCCTGTTTGGATTGGGGAAAACTTATCAAGGTTGTATGTTCTTATCCTGAAATCAAACAACTTCTTTGGAACCATCCCTTTACAAGTATGTCAATTACCAAATCTTCAAATTTTAGACATTTCAAGAAACAATCTCCATGGAAGCATCCCCTCATGTTTAAATAATCTTACAAGCATGGTTCAACAAGGAATATTACCAACACAAAACATACATTCCATTTTAACTAACTGGTATCGTTTAGGTGTTATATATAAATTACTTGATGGTGAGTATGTTGACCATGCAATGATCGGGTGGCAAGGAGAGGAGCGTGAATTCACTCGTAATCTGGGATTGTTGAAGACCATTGACCTATCAAGCAACAATTTAACAGGTGAAATTCCATATGAGATTACCGGTCTTTATGAACTCATTACACTATACTTATCAAAGAATGGTCTACTTGGAGAGATTCCATTGAAAATTGGTCAGATGAAGAAGCTTTTAACTTTGGATTTATCTAAAAACAAATTATCAGGAGGGATACCTTCAAGCATGTCACAAATGACTTTATTGAATGACCTAGACGTGTCATATAATAGATTGTCAAGGAGAATCCCATCTAGCACTCAACTCGAGTACTTTGAACCTTCAAGATACGATGGAAACCTTGGATTATGTGGACGGTGGACCTCCCCTTTCCAGAAAATGTCCAGGAGATGAAAAATCACAAGTACCATTGGTGCTTGGTAAAAATGTCGGTGATGGGGAAGACATAGATGAACTTGATAGATGGTTTTATATTGGTGGGGCAACTGGTTTTGCTATTGGATTTTGGATAGCATGCGGCACTCTACTTTTCAACCGTCGTGCGAGACATGCATTTTTTCAGTTTTATGATAGCTTTAAAGATTGGGTTTATGTGAAAGTGATGGTGTTTGTTGTAAATTTGCCAGACGTAAAATGTAGGTAGTTTCTCATCTATTGTTTTTTTTTTTCAATTTCTTATACTCATGTATGTATGTTGTCTTGAATAGACTTATAGCTACTCTTATTTGGGGTTAGAGGTTTGGTGATGTAGTTTGTCAGGAGTTTTTAAGTCCCTAATAAATACAAATAGCTAAGACTTATAAATGTTTGAATATCTAATTTGGGGCAGTTTATTTCAATTCTTCATCTGTATGTCCTATACAAATTGTCAAGACTTGTAGTTTTTTTATGTCTAATTTGGGGCAATTTATGCTAATTCTTCATCTTTAATTGTCTTATACAAAGCGTCAAGACTTCTAAGTATTTGAACATTTAATTTCAGGCAATTTATTCCAATTCTTCATCATTAATTTGTCTTATACATATTTTCATGTCTTAAACGTCTAATTTTGTTCCAATTGCATGGAAATGAAGTATAGTATGCTCCAGAAATATACACCACCTTTTTGTTGCCATCCACTGGAATCCTTCATCTTCACAGTCAAGAGTCGAGACTATATAAGCCATCATGGGAGGCAGTTCATATATGCATATCAACACAAATAAAAAAATATAAATATTTACATCAACGTACATCATGCATCCTTGTGTTTTTACAATTTTGTTACTTATCAATTATCATGCTACCTCTTGAGACAACTTACCAGTTGGTAGCTGTACAAGTGGGAGGAGATGGTAATGGTGTTATGAACAAGTGTTTGGATATGGAGAGACATGCTCTCCTTCTTTTAAAACTCCCAAGATCCTGATGGCAGCTTCTCTACGACTTTGTTACTTGAAGAACATCTTCAGCAAGAATCTGCACCATAGTACCAAACCGAAAACACCGATTGATTATATAATTACTTAAAAACATCTTTTAAATGCACTTAGTATGCAATTCACTCTATAGTTGTATAATATACGTACCACACTGCCGAACAATCATATTCAACAACAAAATTTTGAATCAATAAGCACCAACAATGCAATAAGTAGAATTTAAACGATGGAAGCCTTTGAGGCTTTGAATGTCGATTTTGTTGATGACTTCTTGTGATTGAACGGAAATCGACACCCTAGACGTCGATAAAGATTGATTTAGGAAAAAAACATTCGATCGGTGAGATTTTTTTTTTCTGGCTCAAAATCAACAATAGAGGGCAAAATCGGAAGTTACGCACACGTTTTGAAAGAATGGGATTCCTCGGATGCGGCTTTCCTTTCCCGTTTCTATCATCTGATTCTATCATATGCATATAATCTTTGGCTAGGCTTATTAACAGAACTTATTAACTTATCAACGATTTCACACCTACAAGTTTAAAATTATTTTGATAAAAATAGTTTATTATGTTAGGAAACCTCTAATTAACCATTTTTCATAATTTTCCCCACATATATTTATTAGCTTATAAGCTAATAAACAATCAACTTTTTTTTGCCAAATACCCCTAAAGAGGGTGTAAGGGAGAGGCACTTGGTAGCCATCCCAAATCGACTTATTGAAGACAAAATGGAAGATGAAAGCAATATAAAGCGGAAAGAATATGAGTATTATTGTTGTCTTGGCGGCACCAAAAAAAGATATTTATTGGCTATGTGGTTGTGATGAAGTTGAATGATTGATGGGCTATGCTTGGTTGAACAGTTGCACATTACTTTTTACATGAGTAGCACCTTAATTAAAAAAAAAAAAAAAAAAAAAAAAAAAAAAAAAAAAAAGGAAACCAAGTAATGTAACCACTTTGTAATGGTCTTTAATGTAACACCTAGTTTTTTTGATGTTTTTTTATCGGGATGGTGGGTCGTGTATGGATCAAGTAAAGGTCTTGGACTTCAAGAAAATATATGTTTGGATAAGTGTTTAAAGCTCTCGATTGCCCTTCAAAGAAAAGGGTAATATGTGAAAGGTTATATATGGGGCTTCTTGTATGGATTATGGTTTTAGTTCGACGTGTGTTAAGCCAAAGGTAACTAGATAGGATTGTGAGGCGTGTCAATACATTTACATGCATATAAAGAACGCTGAAAACTGAGTTGAAACGAAGAAATCAATGTTGTTTGAAGTCTTATTGGAAATTGGGAATTTTGTCCTACACATGGCGTAGGTAAGCTATGCTTGGTGTAGCCTCGTTTTTGCCACATAGCCGCCTTGTGGTCTACGCAGAGTGTAGAGCTACATGTTATGTTTGGCGTAGGTGGTCTGGGGTTGACCCTTGACTTTTGACCCTTGACCATTGACTTACAACATGGGTTGACTTTTGGTCAAATTAATGGTTTTGGAGTGTAGATTGAGAGGTATTTTTTATTGTTTTTAGGTGCCATGTAGGATCAGTGTTTTATGGGTGAGAGTTGTGGTGTTTAGGTGCTACTTGTGAGGTGAGTCTTCTTACTATACTTGCATGTGTGGTAGTATATGCATGTCGATGTGATGGGTATTATTTGTTGATTTCTGTTATACGTGAAATAAGTTGCCGATAACTCCTAGACTGTTATAAGTCAATGGGACTGCTAATAGTACCTAGGATTGCTGTCAACCCATGTGGTGTACTGTTAATCCATAGGGCGTGTTGTTATCACATTGGGGCCACTGATTGTCTCCAAAGTTTACTGATAATCCTTAGCTGATTATTATCTTGTGATGTATTGGATTAGTGTCTAAGCCCGTAATTATATCTGGTATGTACTTGACCCAGTTGTGCATGGTCCTTCTGGGTTACCTTCACCAAAGCAACTTGACAGGATGATTTATGGAGAGATAGAGAGAGAGAGAGTGAGAGAGAGAGAAAGAGAAAGAGAGAGAGATAGAGAGAAAGAGGATATTATGGTTTATTAATATATTATATGAATAATATATTAAAAGAGAAATCATATAGTTTAATTAGTACTGGTCAAGAATTAATTAAGAATTAATTTTGTGGCTAAAAGAGATTAATTAAATAAGGGGGACTGAAATTGTCAATTATAAGATAATTAAATTTGGGCTGTGAATCTTATGGATTAAGGGAGTGGACGATTTCAAGGTGGAAGCCCACTTGGAAATCATCAAAGGGCCTTATTCTAGAAGGTTCTTGAAGCTGTTTAGGGCCTAAGTCATCCAATTAGGGTTTTGACTGAAACCCTAGCTGCTCGGCTATTTAAGGACCCCTAGAGCATCAGTTTTCGGCTTACACATGAAACCCTAGAGTTCCTATAGCCGAAATTGTGCCTCCATTTCTTCTCTTCTTGATCATTTTCTTGCCTTGGTGTTTGTAAGCCATTATAGGTATTACACTTGTGATACTAAGCTCTTGAAGTTTGAAGATTCTTGCTACTATCAATGGTAATCATCTAAACTTGCATTAGATCTAGATTTCGATTTTTATAGTATGCTAGATTAGGGTTTACAAGCTTTGGATAAACTTGCATGCATAATAATAGAGAAACCTAGATCCGAAGCTTGAGGGTTTTACATGTGCACATAGGCTTGTTCTTATGCTCAAAACCCATCAGTGGTATCAGAGCCTTGTTGATTTCTATTGTATTTGATGCATTGTATGTTTGTTCAAAGCTTAAAATCGATTTTCTTGCCATCTGCTTAAAAGACTCGTCGAGTCCCAAGCAGAATTCGACGAGTCAGATGAACCCAACGAGTTCTGCAAGGGACTCGGCGAGTCGGGCTGTCACACAGATGGATTTTCAGGATTTTTGCTTATTTTGACTTGGGATAATTATCAAAAATGTTTTTGAATAATAAAATCCGAATTTTATTGATTCTATGTGATTATCTTAGTCAAAATAAAAGATATTTATCATTTAGTTACATAATTATTGTCTTATTTGATAAACTCTAATTATTTGAATTATTTGATCATTATCTTGCATGAAATTGGATTAGGTCAAAATTAGATTATCACCAATTAATTGTTTAATTATATTATTTGAATTTTGATCTAGATAGTTTTGAAATATTTCAAAACTTGCCCTTAAGTTTTGGAATTAAAATTTTTTTGATTAAAAGTTTAATTTTGATATAATTAAATTCCAAACTCTAGAATGTTACAAGTTTAAAATTCACCCCTATACTATTATAATATTATAATAATAATTATTATATATGTATAAGATAAATGCTAGTCTTACGGTTAGTAGGCCTCACTCACGAAGCCGATCTATAAGAGGGGGGGGGGGGGGGGTTAAAAGGTTGTTGCCTATAAAATGGCAGTTTAGTAGGTATCCACTCTTACCCACCGCTTCCTTGATTGGTGGAGGGTCGAACGGGTAGGATAGGGAAACTAATTCATCATTAAAAGTATAATGATTAATGAAGTAACTAAATGTTTTATAAAATTCCCAATCTTAGTTACTTTAGGAAAAATGTGAATTTGATGCTATTCCATGAAATTACACTTTGTACGCTTGCCAAGACCTTAGTGGAGCGTGAGTGGTTAACCGGCACACTAATTTGGCTCTAGCAAAGGTGGCAAAGGGTGACTCGATTTTTGTCATAGATCAATGGAGCATGTGTGGCTAACCGACACATTGATTAGGTGACTGTAACATTGAGGGCACCAAGTATATTTGCATGGTTATTCACACCTTGTTTATGATACTCGGTATCCCAGTCACAAACTTGAAGGGCATATCGAGATTTAAACATGCCACTGAAAAGTTCAATGATTCTCAAAAGATCTAGGAGTTTCAATATATTTAAAACTTAATGGCTTTTGTTTTTCTTGGTGGAAATTAGTGAATCGTCATTCACTTACCTT